GGTTCTTGGTATCAAAATAGGACGATTTAACCCAACTTACCTCTATCCAAAAGTGCTTCGGTAACGCGCTATCTACCGCCAAAGATTTAAAAAAAAAATCGTTATTTTTATTTTATCGGAAAATGGTTTTGCCGATTAAAATGAAATTCGGGATGTGAATGTCCAATGTAAAAAGGGTCTTTGTGATAGCATCGTTTTGATTGTAGTTGCTATGTAGGTGGTAAATACTGACCATCCACATCTGAAGAGGTCTAAAACTTTTTAACTACTATTTTGACAGTTCTGAATTTTTAGACACTGATAGACAGTTTACTTGCAAGCATTTTTTGTCTCTTGATGAATATCGCTATCTGTGATGGTTTACGAAAAAAAAAAAATTAGGCATGATGAATGGCATGCACCATACATGCGATTGTTGCTCAAAAACCATAAGTGCAAGCAAGAAGTAGGCTATGACGATTTGGAAACCTGTGAGTATACTGCCTAACGCATTGGCGACCATTTCCACGACAGTATCCAAACACTAATAGCATATCAATTAACTCTGCGTTACTGTATTGAAAGGCCATATTACAATTTTAACAATGAAATTTTAAGTCTTCAAGCAAAACGTAAATTGTTCAAGTTTAAGAAACAACAAACAAACGTTACGCCACTCTAAGGTTTCACAGCCATCTTCTGATTTTTTTTTAGGAACAATCGCATGTATGGTGCATGCCATTCATCATGCCTAAATTTTTTTTTTTTCGTAAACCATCACAGATAGCGATATTCATCAAGACACAAAAAATGCTTGCAAGTAAACTGTCTATCAGTGTCTAAAAATTCAGAACCGTCAAAATAGTAGTTAAAAAGTTTTAGACCTCTTCAGATGTGGATGGTCAGTATTTTACCACCTACATAGCAACTACAATCAAAACGATGATATCACAAAGACCCTTTTTACATTAGACATTCACATCCCGAATGTCATTTTAATCGGCAAAACCATTTTCCGATAAAATAAAAATAACGATTTTTTTTTAAATCTTTGGCGGTAGATAGCGCCTTACCGAGGCACTTTTGGATAGAGGTAAGTTGGGTTAAATCGTCCTATTTTGATACCAAGAACTCCTAGTAGCGCGTTGTACAGACCTTTTAGGGACACCCTGTATATATGGAAACAGACCGCTTTATTAGTACAGTTGACTACGTGATGAATGCAAAACAAAAATATCACTGCGTATTGCGAATTCGAGAAAACCGGTTTCGATTTCGCTAAAGTAATACTCTAGATCGTGATTATGGTAAGGAATAAAATGCCAATCTCTCACTGTGTTGATATTAATTTTTCCCAATTTATTAACTAAGTCTTGTTGCAAGTGAAATACACCGATTAATTGTCTTGCCGTATGCTGTTGTATAAAAAAATTTATTTATCCCACAATGTACAAGACGTTACTCTACTTGCGTTTAACCCGCCGTTACTGTTGGCTATCCGATAAAAAAACTTCTTTGTTTACCACGGCGACTTTCAATATATCAGTATATTTACTTGCGGTTTGGTTTTAAAAGCAAATCACCGACTCAAAAACGTTCCTTCGCGTAAATTTTATTACTCGTAACGAAACGATCGTGCTACGAAAAGTCTTTCTTCGCGTCGGAATTTATTGTAATTAGTAGCAATTTGTCACGAACCCGAATTTATGCGCGCATAAGAAAATAATAAATACAACGTTACCACCTAAAGGTTTACATTCTTTATTGACTAAACAGTAACGTTCCAAAATATGGAGAAATTCATTGCACATCGAAAATAATACTTTATTAATTATTTCTTTGAATGAATTAATTAGTCAGATTAGATCGTAAGTTCGATGTTCTAGCTTAAGTACAGAATCCCAGTGCCCTGTAATTGGAATGCTTGCATTCTGTGTCTGGCCAAATAAATAAATAAATCAATAAATAAATAAATAAATGCTTACAAAAAGCTGTGAAATGCCCTTATAAGACCCTGGAACGCGTTTGGAAGGATTGCCTCTCTTCTATCGATTACGTGCTTTCCAGAAACGAGACCTTTCTGATACTTTTCCAGTCAGTAACTTTTGAAGGGAAATCCTTATTCTCTGCAAATGCTTTATATATCTCTGGGAAGGGCCTAAAAGGCTCTGCTAAGATGTTAATAAACTATTCTAAATTATACAGACCCCTCGGATCATAATTCCTTTACCATAAAGATTTCGACAAAAATGCAGAAGCAAAATTATACACAATTAACGTCACCATTCTAAAATATTTCTGGTCACCATGTACTGTATTCCAGTGGCGTATCAAACTTAATTTTTTTTTAAATAGAATACCTCAGATTTGGTTGAAGAGTACTCATCTTTTATGTGACATATCTCCTTAACTTTAACGATTTTGCGGTTATAACCTTTTTTCCTCCAAATTTAGCCGTTTCTTGAATTTTTTTTCAGAGAAACTAAATCGCGCAGGCGGTTACGTTTTGTAAAACCTCTTCCACGTTCACATATTTCAAAAAGAAAATTTCTAATTGGCCAAATGCAGGGCCAAATGTCATATTTTTTAAAATTTCAGATGGAACTCCCCTAAATAAATTATAGCTATGGCTAGTCGATTCTAAAGTTCCGCTGAAAAAAGAGCCTCTGTGCTTCAGTTTAAAATTGAACCGCTTTTCTAAAAAAAATTATAAAAACAGAATTTTGAGGGTTCTTACGTTCTTAGATAAAGCTGTAACAATAATCGACTTTTTTCGTCGGGGAAATCCCCACGGCCACCATCTTGAAAGATGTTGAAATCTGAAGCGCAATATCCGAAGCCATTCAGATAGAATTGCCGAAATTATATATCTAAACGTATTTACGTGAGTGGGGATTGTTGATATCTTCCCGAGGTCAAAATTTTTGATGGGATTCTTTATTAGGTGAAACACGTTTTTTTTATGTTATATCATAAATTTTATTTTAATTACCTATATTTGTTTTACCTATATCGCAACCCGAAACCCACAGGATCCTTAAAGAGGACATACGTCTCATGTTTTGAAACTCACTTAAGATGCGGTTTGTTATTTTGGGGGAATTTTTCATTAATATAATATAACTGTAAAAGAGAGCCATTTGTATTTCAGTTGGAGTAGGACCTCCAGACTCGTGCGGTCCCCATTTTATGAAATACCAACTGTATATTATAATTTATTTATTTTCGAAAGCTCAGTTTATGTACACTGTAACCTTTACATGTTTAAATTACGCAAATGGTTATCTGAAATACCGGAGCCGCAAACGTGCGGGTAACCTGCCGTTTAGTTTACCTTGCTGGTTATCTTTGCCATTGTCGTAATGAATTGCTCTACAATTGATTACTTGAATACAGAGGTTGAAGTGGGAAGCTTGAAGAATAGGTTTGAAGTTCAAGGTTAAAGAGCAAAGGTCTTCAAGCCGAAAGTATATACTTAAATTGTAAAGTATGACCTTCAGGTTCAGTAAAACCACGAGTAAAACCGCTTGAAGGGTCTTAAATTTTACGTTTGAAGACTAATAAGGGACCAATAAAGAATTCTCGTGCTCTTAAAGAAGACCCTTCCTGAGTTTTGAAAACTTGAGATTTTTGAAATCCCTTATCGTTTTAAAGACTAACGGCATCTAGAAGGCTATGAGAAACATTTGAAGGTTACTGAAAATTTTGAAAGGCGCTTGCGCTTGAGGACCCTTTAAATGATTCTAGCAGACTGTAACACATTTTACAAAGCTCCAAAGGGCCTTGAACAGTCTTAGAAGCGAATTTTTTAAACACTTTTAGGCCTTTGGATACCCTTGCAAAATTGTGAATACTCTTGGGGAACCTAAATGCTTTAACACTTTAAAAGGCGAAGGCCAAGAAAATCTTGACTAAATGATAACTGTGCCTAAATAACAAGTTAAACAATTGTCAAAGTCGTTACTTATAGATCGATTTCGGTGAGAAAACGTTTTTGTGTGGATACCTTAGGAGGAAATTTTACGTACCTATTTTCGATATCCATCTAATTCATTTTGCTCAAGGAATATTGAAATCGTTATTTATGCAACGGTTTCTGTGTTTTTTTTAAATATTACTTGTACTAAATGCAAAATTTTAACCAATGAAACAACATGATCAAAATCCTTTGTTTGGATTTCATTCTTATCAATAAATACAATACAAAATCTGTTCATTAAAATATTGCTCATAGGTCGATTCCTTTAAGAATATTAAAATTAGTTAAAAAAATTATTATGCAAATTTCTAAAATTAATCGATTAATACTTTATACAAAAAAAATTTAAAATTTGTGGTGCAAAAGTGTGTAATGAATCTGCGTAATTCGGATTGTGGCGACTCCACTACAGATTGGCTTTATCGGTTACAGTGGTACAAAATTTGTAATTTACAGTACAAGTTAGTACCAAACAACAGTATTTTCCAATCGTATTGGTGGGGATTGCAACGATACGCGCCCCTGATTATTTTCATTTAAGCCCTTGAACTGTTTAGATGAGGTGGTATTGAAAAGTAGCCTATTTCAAAATTGGAAAAACAATTCCTTTTAACGATTTACTTTATGATAGTGGCATAGTTTTGATCTGAATGATATAACTTAAATTAGTATGACAAACAACGCCCCTCCATTATTATACCACACCTTACCATAATTATCACTTATGAAATATTTTGAACTAAAAAAAAGAAACTTGTTTACACACATTGACAAGGTCGTTACGTGTAGGAAACCTTGACCGGACGGATACTTCGTCCATTTATTACGTGCAGTACATTGAAAGCGTCGTTAAAATCTTGCAATAGGAAATTAGTATGCGGCACGCTAAAGAAAATTGTAGCCATTAAGGAAATTGTGGTGAAAATGAAAGCCGGTTCGACGACGACACCCAATACCTTCATTACTAAAATTCGATGTCGTAAAAGGCTCTCATCAAAGCAGCTCGATCGTTTTTCGCAAACGCAATTAACGCATTATTTTCTTTTGCAGATCGAGGTACTCGGAGGAACCGCCGAAGAGTTGTTGCGGATTACTGGCATGGAAACCTGGATCGTTAAGATGGTTTATTGCTTTAATTGCGGTCGTGGCGGTTTGCTGCGTTCTCGTCGGTACGGCGTTGGGGGCGATGAGGCCGGCGGGACGAGATCATCTTACTGTCTCGCTACTAATGATAGGTAAACAAAATTCGAAAATTTAATACGTCGACGGCGGCGGCGGCGGTGAACGGAAATGGTGTGTGTTACATCCCGAAGGGGTAGACTTAATTATCGCATTATTAAGCGGGCAGATTGCTTCCGTAGTCATGGAGACAGGCTCGCGAATTTAGATAAATTATCATTCATTGGGGAAATTATTTCCGATACCTGTGTTATATTCATCCCCTCGCCCAATTGTATTCGGCACCCCTTTAACTTTATATATTCAATTTTAATGAATCATTATGAACGGGGATTGTTTTAAAATAATTTGTCGCAGCCGGCATTTTATTGTGCTATTAATTTTCTTAATGGAATTACAACGGTCGAAACACATTTGTTGTGTGCTCGTTACACTGTGTCGCGGCGTTTATTCATTGAACGCGATTAATATCCCCCATTCACCGATTGATTGAAAAAATAAATTTGCGCCAGCTGTGATTTCGCATGAGAGGCGCGCTTCTCAGTATATTAATCGCAATGCAGATGAACGAGGTTCATACTACCTTTGCCAGCGATATTAGATTTGGAGCCAAATATGTTGGAAAGAAATCTGACAATTGGAAACCAAGTGAATTTGTCGTGCACTTTTATAACATTCAGTTTTATAAATACGTCCTCACTCCTCACAGTGAAAGATGCGAATACGGATCCAAAGACATCAAAAGTATCCTACGTTATCACAAGCCAATCACAAGCTTATCATTGCATCTTAAAAAATCCAATGGCTGCAGAATGAGAACACTTTGACAACTCCATCAACCATTAGAGTCCGTAGGATCCAAACTAAAGTGTCTAAAGAAACCTAGGTACCTAAAGAATTCGAAGAATCTCATTAAAGGAATCAGAATCCAAAGGATCTACAGAATCAAATAAAACCAATGTATCTCAAAGTATCTGAAGAATCAAAAGAAATCCAAGGAATCTCGAGGATCTAAAGCTTGCAACCTTTTTTATTGGTTTTTAGAAGTTTTTGGATTGCGAAGATTTTTGTATGATTCTTCTTTGTGCTTTCTTGGATTCATTGAAAAATTTGGATAGGCTCGATATGCTTTATTATTTGATATTTGAATTCTTCCGGTATTTGGAGTTTCTTGGATCCTATAAATTATAATGCACTGTTTCTTGTATCTTTGCGGTGTCCGAAGGCTCCCCTGGATTATGTGATGCATCTGATTGTTTGAATCAATTGAAGTATTAGGATTCTACGAATAACTATTTCTAGAACTGTGTGTTTCTTTATTATAAAATTAATAAGGCAGCAACAACCCCCCAGGCGGTCATAATGACCATGAGTATGTATCTTACTTACTTAGGATTCTTAGCATTCCCAGGATTTGCAATATTGTTAGGATTCCCAGGATATTTAGGATTCCCGGTCTGTTGTAACCATTGTCGTAAAATTCTTACGCTTATTTATATTATCGTTGTTAGCGTGTTAGGATCATTGAATATTTTAGTCTCTTTAGGCTACGGTTTCCTAGAATGACGGCACCGTAATATAGCGACCGTAATAAAGCGGTGGGTGACGTCACGGAAACCGTTGTCATAGATGTGGATAGACATGGTTTCCTAAAGAGTGATGTAGACCACCTTTCATAAAAAAGGGCAAACGATATCTTTATTACGGCCGTCAGAGCGGCGACAAACGTTGCAACGGTTTTTTTTAATATGACGGTGAATGTTAAGCTGTATTGTGTGCGTGAAATGCCCCAAAATATTAGTTCGAGCTCTACATGGACATGTGTATTAATGAGTTCGCTATTTTCTTGAGTTGTTCCATTGTTGGAAGGGGGGATGACTACATTGAGCATTCTCAGCATTCCGCATACTGTCAGCAACTTGTCTTACGATATAGAACTTAGAAAAAAGAAAAAAGTATCATAGGAATCCAGTCACTGCAAGGAATTCCAGGGATATATTGAATTTGAGAAATTTAAAGAATCTAAAGAATCCTAAGAATTCAAAGAACCCAAACAGACAAAGAATTTAATCTATCAATTCATAAGCTTCCAAGGAATACAAATTATTATAAAAATCTTAGAAAGATCAAAGATCAAAAGCTAAATTAAGCCAATACAACTAATTTAATGAAGTTTTGTTAATTTCTTCAAAAAAATCCCAATAAATATAAAACACCTTAAGGTCAAAAAATTTCATATAACCCCAGGAAATAAATCCAAAGACAAATCCGTCGAATATCAACGAATTTGAAGACTCCCCCCCCCATATCCAAGAACATCAACAACGAAATGTAGGGAATCTCGGCAATTCAAAAAATCTACACAAATCCCACGAATTCGGGTAATACAAAGCCTACAAAGAACCCAATCTGCACGAATGATCTAGATCATAGATTCCCATCTTTTCTGAAGCGCAATAAATAGCTACCCCCCCCCCCCCCCCCCCCCCGTAGTATTTTCGGTACACTGACGCACGCAGCTTTTAATATATTGAGATTCTCTGCCTCAATACCTCGAACCGTTTTAGTAGGAGAACTTATTCCATTACTTTTTACCCACCCTGTATAGACGTGCACATGCTATGCTTATTCGAAATGATTTAATTCAAGTAAAGTGCGTTCATAGTTATGCCGTGACCTGACCATCCCCCTGTATGTACATACTCAACGACCTCGACTTATCCCCGAGCACCCCTATCGCCCCCCTGGATTACTCCAGCGTCCACTGGTGGGCGGTACCGCCCTCGCTGGGAACCTTGATCTACATCTTCTAACGTAAAAATGATGATACGTAGCAAAAGAACTCTAAAGAATCCCACTAAATCTAGGAATTTATGGGCTGTTGTGAATTTTGGGAATACTCAGAATCCTGACACCTGGAGATATGTAAGTTTTCAATGTCCCAATAATAACACTCTAAGAGTCTTGTTACCTATGTTACCAGAACAATGCCAAAAGTGGCAACAGAAAGAAATTTCCAAAAATCCAAGAATTCCAAATCTTTGAACATCTAAACAACTTCCTAAGATTCACTGGAACCTTTCAATCCTTATTTGTCCGTATACCAAAAATAGGCTTTGACACGTCAGAAAATATGGGCCTTTGGAATACTTGGTATCCGTTGAATACAACGTATGCAAAGGACCCAAAGAATCTGTAGAATCCTTCGAATACAAAGAATCCGGCAATACAGGGATATCACGGAACCCAAACTAGCCAAAGAATTCGAAGATTTTAACGAATCTAAAGAATAGCATGAATTCATGATTTCCACGGAATCAAAAAATCAAAGAAATCCCAGATTTCACGTAAACCCTAACTTTACAAAGAAACTAAGGAATCAAAAGAATCTAAGGAGCCACGAAACACAAAGTATACAAGGAATCCAATGAATATACAGAAACTAAGGAATCAGGAAGGTCGCTAAAATTGAAAAAATTCGAAGAAGAGTCCGTAGTATAAAGAATAAATTCAAAGATTTTAAGTATCCCAATAATCCAAAGAGTGCAAGGAACCAAAGGAAGCATACGAATTTGAATAACTTAAGGTAAGGAATTCAAAGCATACAAAGAATAGATACAAAGAGCAAAACCTTTTACGGTATTGAGGGGAATCCAAAGTATTTTAATCGTAATGAAAAAAAGAAAAAAAAGAATACGTACTCCTAAAGTCGATGGTTCCCAAAGACCGATAATCCTAAACATCTCACAAGCGTGGGAATCGTAAGGTAGTTGTGACTCTTTGAATCCAATTCAGATATTTCAAAAATCTGCAGAACTTAACAAAATTCTAAAACCCAAAAGGCTCCCGAAGCTTGAATCCAAGAAATCCAAAGTATTGTAAAAATGATTTTTCCAAGGATTCCATAGGGTCAAAGTAATGGTAAAAATCGAAACGACCTGTAAAAATTGAACGGTCCCTAATAATCTAAAGAATTCCAGAAATCCAAGCAATTGGTGACCTCCAAGTAAATATCCACAAAATCCAAAGCATCTAAAAAATGCAAAGAATCTATTCCCATACAGTAGATCCATGGGATACAAATTTTCTAAAGAAACACACAAACAACTATAGACTCATAAGAATCCAGTGACTGCAAGGAATCCCAGGGATATAATGAATTTGAAAAATTCAAAGAATATAAAGCGTGAGGATAATCATAATAAAAATCCTAAGAACGTACCTGTACAATGAACCTACTTACCCTAAGGATTCAAACAACCTTAAAATTTTTGAGTATCATGCTACAACAGTGCAAGAATGCTAAACATCCTACTAAGTCTACGAATGTAATGATCTTAGGATGTTACGAATTCTAGGAAAATTGATACGACACCTTAGCAATGAATCTAAGGAATCCCGTAAATACAAAGAGAAAGAGTCGATAAAATTTGACTCCGGTGATAACTATATGACCAGAGAAATCTATTAATCATGAGTTCAAATTCCATGAAATCCAAGTATTCAAAGTAATCCGATGAATCCCAGGAATGCAAATAATTTAAAGACTGCACACAATACATGCAATTCGTTGGATTTTTTGCTCGGACTCTTGGGATTCTTGATGTTCTTGGAAATCGATGGATGCGTCTTTGGATTGATATATTGGATTATTCCTGGGGTACTATGGAAGTTTCTGATCTTACGATGTTTTGCATTACTTGGGATTCTTTGAAAAATTTAGGATTTTCATTTAAATATCTTCATAAATAAAAAAGTTAGCATTGCACATTCGTTAATCCAAATTTTTGACATTTCGCATTCGCAAAACCAAAAATATGCACGGTATCCCTGGACCAAGACATTTCAAATGAGCCCTATATTGCCCAAATCGGTTCAGTGGTGTAGAAGGAGTACGTGTGACGAACGGACGGACGGACGACAAATTCACTTTGAGGAAAATACGCTAATGAGTCATAAGAACAAGTACTCTTAAAGCCTATGATCCCATAGACCGACAATCCTAAACATCTCACCACGCCTGGGAAGTTCGTTGTGAATGCTGGAAATATGAGTCCCTAAATTTCAAGAATACGATGGAGCCAAATAATCCCAGGAATGCGACAAAAAACGACGAGGCCTTCTGAATCCAATTCAGTTCATACAAAAATCCGCAGAACTCAACAGTTCTAAAACCCAAAAAGCTCCAGAAACTCGAATAGTCCAAGGAAGGAATCCCAAGAAATCCATAGTATTGTAAAAATTATGTTCGTAAAAATTCCTAGATCTCCGAGAATTTAATGGAATCCGAGGAATACGTGGCGTGGCGCTCGAGGAATTTAAGAAACAAGTATTTAAGACAATTCAATGAATCCTTGAAATCATAAAAACTTTTCAGAATTAAAAGAGTTCATATAATCCCCGGAGCCTGAAGAGAATCCAATAAAATCCAATGATATTTAACAAGAATCCGGCTATTGCCAACGAATTGCAAGACTCTCTAAATTTCTAAGGTATCACAAAGAACTTCAAGGGCCCAAAAGTATGCCAGATATACTTAATGATTCTGGTCGATTCAAAGAATCATACAAAAAACCCAATCTTATAATCCAAATCTTCCAACGTATCCAAGTGCTGTAAAAATCCCAAGAATCTAGCGATTCCAACGAATTCGGAATTGTTATAATCTTAAAAGTCGTAAGAATCCCAGGAATGTGAGTATTAAACGTCGAAATCCTAGGTTTATAACTATAAATCCAGATATTCCCAAGGATCGTCAGATTCTTGAGGATCCCAATTTTAACAATTATAGGAGTTTAAGAAATTTACAGCCCCAGAATCTTGAAATTTCTATGAATCCTTTCTAATAGCAGCATTCTAAGGTACTTTAGATTCGTACCGCTTTTAAATGCCTAAATGCAAAAGTCGGAACTAAAACGTGTCACTAAATTCTACTAGTGCATAGTGTTCTCGCTGTCGAAATATTTTTCAGTACGCTGTTTTCGGAGGGCCTAACTTGGAATCCTAAATTCCGAATAGCTCCAAGCAACGAAGAATTCTGACAATCTAACTTTCCAATTGTTTTCCTCCAAGCTTTATAAGTGAAAGTTTTTGTTAGAATTGACCCTGATTAAATTCTATTGTCAGAGCTATGAAGACACCTACCGATTGGCAAAGTTCAATTTAGTTCGGTAAAAAGACTGGGGCCATGTTGGTTTATTTCGTGATATTACAACATGTGAACTGACCATAAAACGGTATTACATCTGCTCTTTTCGCTACACTGTCACAGACATCAAATTAAAATTACTATAGTGATGTTTTGACCTAGTTGTCCGAGCGGACCAACAAAAGGTAATGCGACGCATGAATCTTACCAATGGTGCAAGACCTACTTTTATCCTGGGCTTGTTTTGTAAAGCGAAAAATATAGTTAGCTACATGGGTGCAGTTTTATTTGTGACGCGGAAGTGTCCGCTTTTAATTTATGTGTTTGACTTCGAGCTGGGGTCTAGCCAACCTGCACCGTACATACTCACAAATAAACTACATACCGTTACTTTTAATACTTTACAATATTAATAGGTCGACACCTGTTGTTTTCTGTAACTGCAAGAGTAGGTATATTCCAAGAATGCACGCCTATTGGCGCATATTAAGCAAATTTGTGCCTGTAGAAAAACCATTTCGAAATAAAGAGACTTAACGAAGTATTATTTTTATAGGGGTTGGCATCGTGCTTGTCACAGTGAGTGGGGTAGCGTGGAGATTGACGTCTCATGATTCATCAACGTGCAGGGCCATGTTGGGCTTGGGATCGACGGAATCTGTTGATGTTTGTCCAAGACGCTTTGTACCTCGCCTGCCGCCCTCCTATGGACGACCGCATCATCCGTACGCCGCCATGATCTACCCCGAATTTCAGTACCGGCCTCCGCCACCCAGTTACCAAGCTTCAATGCAGGAATACCGTTTGAGGCTACTACTCTTGGACCGAGGGCATACGCCGCAAATTCAAGCGGGTGTACAGAACGGGCCATCTCCACCACCAACCTACAGGAGCTACGCCGGCAGCTTGCTCAGGTATATTTGAGTGCTCACCACTATCATAACTGAACCCCTCCACTTGCAGGGCGCCGTTATCTAGTAGACGAGACCCATCTCAGTCAGAATACAGCTTTCCACCATCCTACCGATCGCAAACTGGTTCGACTCGGCCCGCCGCCATCGACTTTCAAACCAACGTCATCATTCACAGCCGAGAACACTCGTTAAGCCTATCGGAGTCAAACCAAGGAGGATCGGTCCTCAACGGCGGCACCATTCTGACCAACAACGACGAAGACATCGCGTTGGACAACATTACGGTCGACTCGTTCAAGATGGCGCCCGAAAGTGAAATCAATCCCGTAAAAATGCTATTAAAGAGCGGTAGTGAATTGGACAATAGTAAAGAAGGGAATTTAGTAACAATAGTGCAAACGAGTGATCAAAATCCGATAATCGTAACTGTTAGTGGATGCTCCCAGGCAAATACTGGCAGCAGTGTACAAATAACCGAAATACCAACCGAAATGGAAATACTGGCACATCTATAGATATATCCATAGGTAATTAGGAAATATTTTCGGCGGTGACCTCTCCCAACAAGATTCTCAGAAAGGAAAACGAAAATCTAGTCACGTGGCAATTTTCCGTTGGATGCGAGGTTACAAAAAAGGCTGCTCTTTAAAATATCCCACCGATTGACTACAGCCTTTGTATTAACGACTGACATGAAAAAAAAACACAAAATGATCACTGTAAATACTTTGGGTCAGTATCAATTCTTGTTAAATTAGTTGATTCTGCTGTGATACAACACTGATTAAAGCAACCACCTTGTGTAAAGTATATCTGCAAACCATTCTAGGAGGTGTCTCCACCTATAAATGTGCTATTTTTCATTTTACAAAATATGAAACGTATATTTTCTTACCTGTCCTCGCAATTACTTTTAGAATATTGAACATAAAATTTGTTTTTAACTCTGTTTTACCTATGAAATTTTAATAGTCTTACCGTACTCGAATTGTCATTCCTTGATATAAATGTGTGCGATATTTAGAGATACGCATACTTTGTTGTGTATGACCCTGTATATTTGCGATAATATGTGCCTATATTGTAGATAGTGTCATATTGCATTGTATTATATATTTTAATTGTAATATGAATAAATTTTTTTAACAATTCGCGTCCTTTTTTCGCTGTGTATATAGCTCCATCTATGCGCCGCTATGCACAACTCTCTTCCTCCAGCAATCAATACTGAGACGGATGTAGAATTCCTGTATCTCCACCCTTCTGCGTTCGCTCATAGATAGAGGTTAATGAATGTGGAATCGACCAAGCGTTCAAAACGATACCCTTTTTAGAATTACCTACCCTTATAAGAGCGAAATATTTTTTTTCTATTTTGGTGTCACAATGATGATTTTGTACAACTGTTTTCGGCCGAAAACAGTTGTACAAAGACAGTGATTATAGTCGTTTTTTTTTGGTAACTCATCTCTTAAGTTGGCAGTTACTAGTTAGTACAAGTAGGTACTTCGTTGGGTACTTCCATGTTTAAACTTCAAAATGTCAGTCTTACTACGCTGCCAACCTAAAACTTAACGGCATAAAAAGTGTTCCCAACATAAAACATATTAGTTCTAATGTTCGCTATAGTTTCTGATAATGGTTTTTAAATTAATTAAAGCACCGAAATAGAAAAAATAGTATGAAAAACGCGTGTTACAATCCTTTATTGTAATACTCCTATCTTGCGGACACTCGTGGCTACGCTTCGCGTCGCCACTCGTGCCACAAGATAGTCGTATTACAATAGGTCGCATTGTAACACTTGTCTTTCAATATACTATTTTGTGAATTCCACAAAAAAATAAGGATTGCAGATGTTTTACAACATACAGACAATATTCCAATTAATTTGAAATGCATATTGACATTGATTATATACAGGGGTATATAATTTTACCTTATAAACAATTATCAATATCATTGATTATATACAGGAGTATATAATCAATGATATTGATAATTGTTTATAAGGTAAAATAGATATAGTTTGTAGTTTTAAAGGTTTTTAAGCCAGTGAAGTGGACCCTTTGTCAAAGATTACGCGATTACTAATTGGAATATTAAGGAAATTACATTCTTCCATTATGGATTTTTTTTAAAAAGGAGATTTGGGACTTTTCATTAAGAGGAAGCGTGTATTATAGGCAACTGAACTACCACGATACCCACCGTGCTGTATGTATATAGTTTCTATCACTGAATATTTCGACTGGGTTGTAAAGGCAATTAAAGTAGTTAAGGGTACTATTTCGTAATAATACTCGTACCTCTCGTTGGACCTATATAGAATGCTTTTATTAGACAGTTTATCCCTTATTATTAATGATTTATCCCAATTATTTAAAAACTAAGGTTTGTGCAACTTTTAGAATAAGTATAACCATGGCAAGTGGTGTAATTTCGGCCCCATTAAAAAACTATCATCCAGATTATTATTGATCGTTTTAAACAATATGTAAATAAATGAATAAAATTCGCATAAATTTTGCATCAGGTTAGTTATCGAGGAATACGATTCTTTCGAACCACCAACCGAAATTTTGAGTTCAGTTTTGAGTTTTTTGGAATTTTTGATTGTCAACCGACGCTCTCTCGTCTTTTGTACCCTCTTGACCTTGACGCCCCCTCGGCGTTGACACCCAGGCCAAATGCCTGCTCTGCCATACTTTAGATACGCCACTGTAACCATAGAGTAAGATTGGTACGTGATAACCTACCAATGCGACAACTCGCTATTCGCCAACGAATCATCTTTTTCCTGTCTTACAAATGCAATAGTCAATTTTCATTTGGATTTGGATTGGATGGTTGATTGACTTGGAAATTAGTATTTCTTCGCCAGTAATGTGTCATTTTCCTGACTTACTATGTATGTATGAGTATGTGTCCGAGCCTACTTACACTGTTTCTGAGCTTGAGAATAATTTTCAATGTGGCTTTTTTTACTTTATCTGCAGTTAAAGAAGAGAATTTTGTCTTTGTCTTTGTCAAGTGGAACTACCTTTCCTGATAAATCTTTGTGTTGATTAATCGAGCTCCACGTTTCGTATTGTGCTTGCTTTTGGACCATAATATTGTGGTGAGTATCTCAGACATCGGGGTGCCAGCAGGCGACATGTAAGTCTATACAAGATTAGTAACCGGGGTGACGAAAACCCTGGTTTAGGCGCGGAAACGATTCTACTGAGTAAATTGCAAACAAGATGGGAAGGAGTGATACATGAATGGCAGTTTGTGCCACAAGCAACGAAAAGAATAAAGTAGGTATCAATGAGGCAATATACTGCATGTAGCATTTGAAAGCTATTGACAACGTACACAAAAACAAATATATCTTGGTGGCCATGGACTATTTCAGCAAATGGACATGGATATGCTCCACCAAATTAAAAAGCGGCAACTCTGACAGATGTTCTTGAAAAAGGAATTTTTAGCACTTTTGTAGTACTGGAACACTCTGACCAGGGTCGGGGTCGAAAGTTTGAGTCGGCATTATTCCAAAGTATGTGTCAACTATTGGGAATGGTAAAAGAGAGAATACATGAATAGCGCAATGGGGAAGTACTTGTCAAAAATGGTGTCCAATCACCAGTGTGCATTTATTCCTGACGGGGAACCGTTTTACGATGCAGCAAACTACAGGACAGAGCCGAGTTTCCGTGTGATGGCCGGGAACTCTGGTTGCCGTGTGATTTGAAGTTTGGCACCAGACCCGCCCAAGAAGAAATTGTGGGGCACGAGTACGTAGAAAACCTGCGTCAGGAATTGGACGCAATCCATGATAGATTTCTCCATAATATGCAGTTGACTAGCGATAGAATGAAAGTGCATTGGGGTCTGAAGGCCCAAGCCCAAGGAGATCTGGTTTGGTTATATCGTCTCCAGAGGCTATCCACGAAATTACAAAGAGCTTGGGACGGACCGTATACTTACAATCGTGAAGCGAATAGACAACTTAATAAATCGGATATTGAAACCACCACGAGGAACCCGTGGTACGAGACGCAACAGTTTTAAGAATCAAATCACCAGCCGCCATCGAGGCGCCATTAAGTCGATAATAGCTAATTACCGGCGATAAGGAACGAATGCGGATCCGAGGCATTCTTCCTATAAAATGTGATATGCTGATTTCGCAGATGTTCCGTTTGCTATACGAGTATATCTACGCCGAAGTGATAACTAGTGACATTCGCTCTCGTATTATAAATTTACATGTTATAAATTTGAGTACAAATGACTGATAAAAAATAATTCAATGTTATAAATCAATCTATGGAGTCAATTGTACATGGATAAATCACTAATTAAATTTACGGCACAGTACTTAACATATCCTGGTTCTGCAGTGTGGCGAGCCTTCGTCGAATTAAAAAAAAATGTAACTGCAATTCTAGGCCGGACAATAAAGCACTGTTTCCATACGAACAATCTTGTTTTCGGCAATGTGCTCCCAAACATGATATTGTAGATACTCACTGGCGGATTACCTTAGGAAATGCAAATTGTAATTGGAGTATTCGAGGGGCCCATAGAATGAGAGAAGGGCCTTGTCGTATTATAGTAATGTACGCACGAGAGACGAGCATCGAGCTGTTTTGCAAAGCGAAACCGCTTGCGAGTTCCGAGCACTCCTAAAAGTGCTCGAGCGGTTTATCGCGGCGCGGCGCCTAATCCTTCAGCGGTTAAAAGCGATCACGAGCGAAAAAAACCTCTCAGGAACGAAAAAAGGGCTCGCGAGCGGAAAAAGAGCTCGCAAGCGAAAAAAGAACTAGCGAGCGACAAAAACACTCGAGCGCCGAGCACTTTAAGTAAACGCTCGAGTATCGAGTACCATGTGGCCGCTCCGAAAAGTGCTCGCAAGCGCTTTTTTCGCTTGTAGCGCTTTTTCAACCGAAACGCTCGCTAGCAGTACCCAGCTCTGAAATGAATGCGAGTGGAACAACGAATTTTCGGGTAAATGGAGCGGAATTTGGTAAAAAGTTAGAGAGTGAGAATTTCAGGAAAACTGGAGAGTAAATGGAGAAGAACCTGAGAGAAAATGAAGACGAACTTATAAAAGCTTGAGAAGACTATGATGATAATGTGAGGGAACCTTGAAAGCAACATGTGAATGACTTGAGAACAACTCGAGAAACAGAGAGGATTGAGTGGAACATAAGGAAGTGGTGGAGAACTCGAGAACAGGCTAAGAGTGAAATTTGATGATCCTCGTAACTCGTAACGAGAAGGTTGCCAGAGCAACTTGAGGAGAATTTAAGGGCGAGTTGACGGAAACTTGAGGGGAAACTCGGTGAAAATGATAGATGTATTAATAGAATATTATATTATTGATAGTATATATTTGATGCGAACTGTATGGGAGCTAGAGGATTCTTTCTTGATTCGTTGACACAAGATGTACGATTCCATATTTCTCAACCAAGACTAACGGGCGCGTTGGTATTTTTTACGAAGGCCAGTCTCGTCTCTTGAACGAATTTTCTCAATATTTAATTCCTTCTTTGAGTGGTGGTTAATCCTTTTGATCTGCACCGTTTAATTTTTATTTATTTTCATTCGGACGAGCGTATTAATTTTAGTTTTGTGATTTGGTTTAGAAGTTTCTGATCCCTTTAGCAGTCACGAAGATTTCTCACGGTAGGATACCGGTACTCGATTATGAACCTTTCGAAACGTAATCCCCTAGGTCCTTCGGATTTAGGGAACTTATCTACTCACTTAAAATATAAACCTTCTAGCCCTTTTACGCGCTATTGATCGTGGTTTTCGCCTAATTGCCGTATAGTATGACTTTTTTGCTTTTGTAGCGCTCTGCGTTTTACCTCGGAATGCTTTCTTCGGGATCTCTTCTGAACCTAACTTAACACGCCCCTACTCCGTTTTTAATTTTGCATCATGCCCCGAAATGGCGCTAATAAGTTAAAAATGCAATCTTTAACCATTAGCCAATCTAGTTCGTTTAGCCAAACGAATTACGCGGGCGTTATGACCACCAAAAATTAAAAACCAAGAACAGTTTTTAAAACTGCAACCTAGCAATTCTCACGAAGCTCGTATGATCTCATTATTAGTAAACTTGATTTAGCAGTTTTGGACATTAATATTGTATTATCGTCCGTCAGACGAGCTCTGGTAACTTTCCCAGGTGATTAACCGATCAGGACGCACCCAGACACTATTGGCCTGTAAAATATGGATCGCCAATTGTATAACAAATCTATTGACTTGAAACATTTGAAAAAAAAACAGTCGTCTAATGGAATCACTATGTATCTGCCATAATACGCCACTAAAAAAAACTGCGCAACCTTTACTAAATTATTATGCCAATTGTTTGGAAAAAAACCCTTAAACTCAACCTAACCATCAGCCAGCCTGAGTAGCGTCGTGGCGTGGAAGCGCGATCGTGGTACTAACCATGTACTAACGGTCCCTGGTTCGAATCCAGGTTTGAGCATGGATATTTGTAAAAGTATAGTGGGTTGGGTTGGTAAGGCAGCCTTGGGCCACTTAAAAATAACGTCTAAAAATAAAAAATTAAGATTAATAAATAAATCAATCAAAATAAAAATATAAAATATATATATAAAAAAAATTAAAGTAAAGTAAAAAAGCGATATTTTTAAGAAAAATCGAAAACATCTAAAATGCTTAAGAGCTCCAATTACAATTACTAGTTTACTTAACTTAAAGCACAAGAGTATTTTGTTTTGTCATTTACTTAATTGCTTCACTACATAGAAATTAGGTAACCACTTTTGTGGGCCTTTGCGCTTCTTAGGCTGGCAGTCCAAATTACCTTTTAGGAGCTTTCTAATGATGTAGATTGAACTGGGACTTGTGCCTTCTGGAATTAGGAGAGGTTCCTCTGTACACGATATTAAAATCACCTTCTCGGAACTATCGTAAATATCGACTTGCTCCATGTGGATCAACTTTTCGGTTATGGTTTCCAGCCGTTTTTCATTATGGAGCACAACACACATTCTGTGCATATCGATTTTGAATAATATCATGTTTCCATAAGAAAAGCAGTTTCACACAGATCTAACCGGTTAATGTGTAGGCTGCATCGTTTTAGACCTCAATTTGATCTAAGCAGTTATCGATTACTAGAACTAACCGAGTGCGGAATGCAGGCGGTAATTGGTAAAATAAAAAGATCTACCTTCACAATGTAGCCGTAAAAATTACCCAAAGTAGACACTCGCATGACCGGTCACGCATCAGTTGCGTCAAAAATTTTTAATAAAGTAACAGTACATATTTTGTGTATCAGTGTAGTGACAAAATCATCTCAACGTAAACGTTTAATCCTTTTTTACCACGAAGAATAATTAACTCAAATAACTGACCTAGCTTCGACTGGCCTACATTCGATCTCGGCGCGAAGAAGATGACCAGATCTTCCAAGTACCGTTTCGCGTGTCATTAAAGCAACATCTCCTAAATATGTAATCGCGTCTAATATTTTTTAGTATAATGCGCAGGTATAAGCGTAGATGTCTATTGTTTATTAACGTGGCGATTGTGCTGATCCCGCTCGTAAATTGTGCCCCCATGTTGAGCAGTTTCGATATTTGGGATGACAAGAATGGTACCGAATACGAGTCGTTTTTCGACAATGTCATTATCCCGATAGTTCCCTTCGAGCATCTACCCAGAGGTGTGTAAGTATTCCTTCACAAAGTGCTAGGCATTGATTCCCTAATTCAGTTCTCAATTTCTTCCCCGTGCCCTTCGAGGAGGAGTGTCTATCGACTGATCGACGAAGAAAAGGTAAGCGCGCTACGGGTTAAAAATTGATTTAATCGTGGCGTTTTAGGTGTCTGCTCGAACGCCTACGAGTGCAAGTTTCAGGGTGGAACTTCGCATGGAAAATGTGCCCTCGGATTTGGGGTGTGTTGCATTTGTAAGTCGCGCAAGTTCACAAACCCTTAATTCGGCCAAATACGTTGCAGTTACCACAACCTGCAACAGTGAGGTCTTCAATAACCTAACGTACTTCGTCAACCCCCATTTTCCGGATCTATCGACAGGAATGACATCGTGCAGCACAACCATCAAAAAGATCGATCCGGAAATTGCACAATACCGACTCGACTTCATTCACTTCAATCTGGTGAGTATCTCTGGTTCACGAGGATTTGACTAATCGATAGGATAGGGACAGCCCAATCGAAGCACCGGGGTGTGTGACGACGACGTTTTCATTCTTTCTGGCGGGGTTTCCAAAGACCTCCGGATTTGTGGCATAAACAGTGGCCAACATGGTAAACTACGCTGATGGTGTTATCTTTGTGAGATGAACTGTTTTGTAGTGTACTACGACGTGGAAAATATCAACGAAACGGTAACGATAACGATGATGTTGGGGAACAAGGTACTGTCACGACTGTGGGAGGTGCGGGTGACGCAAATTCCCTTTACTGAACGCGCGCCTTCGGGATGTCTGCAGTACCACTTGGGTACCACCGGTATAATCCAAACCATGAACTTCGCCGATAACGGGCGACACCTGGCCGATCAAGATTACAATATCTGCATGAGACAGGAGCTGGGAATGTGCGCAATCGCCTACGAGCCTTGTCACGAAAACTCTTTTAAAATCGGCACCAACTCGAACAACGCTACTACGACGAACGACGATGCCGATGTCGGTTCCGGAGACGGAACTGCCCGAATGGACGGTTCATGCAACGATCGCATTACGATGCCGTGCGATTCAGAGGACCTGTTAATGGTGCGTACGTTAACGTCAATATCGCTTTTATAGTTACAACTTTAGGAGGGCGACATAGCGCCCGGTTTCTGTAATTTGGGGTTCTGCGGCAGCTCGTTTTGTCCGAATGGAGAGAAAACCTGCCGAATCGAGAGTACAGTGACGCCGTTTACTGTAGGCGTCCAATTCGGATCGACCGCGCGGCAGGAGTCGCCCGATGAGAATTTAGGCATGTGCCTCAAATACGAACAGCTGGCCTGTGCGTTATAAAACTAGTCATGCGATGCGGTAGCTATTTATTTATTATTTTGTTTTAATTTGAAACTTTGGCTTTAATAAATACAGTATTGTGAACTAAAAGCATAAACGTTACTCATTACAAATTTTATTCAAAGCACGCCTGTATGCAAAGTGTTTTTCATCGCCAAATATAGTGAGATTGGTGATAGTTCATCTCTTAAACATTGTATCCGGCTACCATAAATTAATTCATGAGGTCTTGCAGAGTGCGAGACTGTTTCTTGAAATTTTATTTGAAGATGATAATAATGTACAGTGAAACAAAATCTTCTCACAAAAGTATGGAAGCCTGGAAGGACCAAACGACAAAAAAACTGTTTAAAATCTTTTGTTTAGATTTCCCTATCATTCATAAAAAATATACAAATTGTACAAGGAAAAAAACTTCCGTGAGTCGATTTCTTCAGGAATGTTAATGTCAGGGTTAATGTCGACGAATGAAAATATTCTTGAGTTGACAGCTAGCCAACATTCAGAAAATTAGTTTGTGGAACGTCTTGTGCAATACAATCGGACCTAATGGCCCGTATGAATAAAAGTAAGCAAATGCTTATACTTGCAAAATTCAAAGTAAATACTCGTAAGTGCCTCTTCATATTGATCTCTTTAGCAGCGCTGCACTGCGTCCTGTCCTTCTGCTTAGCAGCGCTGCTAAGTCGCCCAGTGCGAAGGAGCACTTGCGAGTATTGCTATTGACTTTGAAATTTGCAAGTATAAGCATTTGCTTACTTTTATTCATACGGGCCATTGTATCGCCCGGTTTCGAATTTAAAATTTACCCATCACAATAATTTCGTTAAGTTGACGGAACAGTCTTACCTTGGAGTTCGGTAATTAACTTAAACTTTCGCAATAAAATATCACGTACGATATGCGGCGGTATAAATCTTCTTTATACCTCGAAGAATCTTTCTCTCCCACCCAATTTCTACTTTATGTACTCGCCGAGATAAAAATCCGAAACGGACCCAACGAAAGCCTAGGGTGAACTGCACATGTAAAGGTATAGCAGAGAGTGTCCCTTATGCTATGTCAGAGCGGTTTTTAGAACTGGCAAGACTGTTAAGTTTTGACTCAAATTTTTTGTATCGTGAATATCTTAGAAATTTTGCTCCTTCAAACATTCCTGTCATTAAAAGTGAATCCCACTGGACACTGGCCCAACGCTTACTTATAGTGTAACGGAGCAGTCATTTTCCGCCCTTGAAGCTCATACCCGAAGTTATGACCATGTTTGTAGAGTCGGCCAGGTTTGCTGAACACCCGGTATCTGTGAAGCGTTTTAAGTTGGGCGCTTCGTTATTAAGTAGCGTAGTGTGTTTTCACTTAAGTTTCGTACCAAATTCGTCCATTTTGCAACCGTACCTGTAGGAACGCTAGGAATATTTAAATTGTTTTTTCAGCCACCGAAAGCTCTTTTGGACTACCGAATTTGTAGATTTTATTCCTACTATTTAGATAAGTATAATCATTGAATATTATTCAACGGTATAATCAACCGTAACTAGTTGAATGGGTTACAGATAACAACCTTCGATGAAGTCGAGATTACATCCGTTAGGTGCGCTCTTAAAAAACTTGAATTTTGAACCAATCCTATATTTTTCCGATGTCGAGGAAACTTGTTTAGATAAATAGGAAACGTAAGGATCCTTTGCCTTGTGCATCTTCGCAAGGTACGTTCTGTAAATAGGCCCCGAAATTTGTAGTTGTGTCGTACTTCGTTGCTTTGATCCGTTCAAACGTGGTAACGTAAATTTAACTACGGATTTATTTATTTACAATTAACTAATTAACAATAAGCTAAAAACGTCTTGAAACGGAATAATTTATAACAGAAATTATTATTTATCACTGACAACTTATAACATAGTACGACGGCAACAATGTTGGAACTAACTCGAAATACAATTCGATTTGCTTATATAGCAAAAACAACCTTTCTTAGAATGTTCTTCGAGTGCCCCTGAACGCTTTCGAATGTGTCACATTTTCTAGGAAGAATGCGTCACATCCGTCTCAGTTTTTTATTACCAATGACTAATTTTTCATGGCGCCTCGATAACTATCGAGATTTCTAGAATATTCGTCACAATCCTCATATGTTTTACTCCGTATGATATTTTGCGATTTGCATGATCTTCAAAAGTTTCTTAAGGCATATACGACATAGAAACTCAAGACTCCTAATCGCCCTTAATCCAAAAAAAATTATTAAACCACCTAAAAGGCTCCTAAGACTCTCAAAAAAACCTCTTAAAGACTAATAAAAGCCCTCAAAGACTCTTAAAGCTCCTAAGGCTAGACTCTTAAACAGAGGAAAGAATGTTAGGGACCCTTGGCGATCTTTTGCGGGACTTGAAGCTTTTGGAGAGATCTTTAGAAGCTCTTAGAACCCTATAAAGACCAATTAAAGGTTTTATGAATCCTGAGGGATCCATAATTGCTCTTAAAGGTTTCCTTAATGGCGCCACTTAAAGGTTCGGGAGACTATCAAAGCAAATTTAAATCTCTTTTGAGATCTTTATGTACCGATGAAAACCTTTGGTGGTTTATAGGGGCCCTTAAAGATTCTCAATGGTTTTTAAAGCCTTTATGAGACCCTCACTGGAAATCTTACGTAACTCTTCAGGTCCATAAAAGGTCTTAAATGTTCTTCATTACCTATTCGGATGTTAAACACACTAAAATACTATTAAAAGTTCTGAAAGCCTCCTAAGGGCCCTAAACGTTATTAAAAAACTTTAGAGATCATTGAACGCGAGAATGGGCCGATTTTGTGTGCACCTAAAAGCTGCTCTTGGTCCCTCCTGAGCTTTGAAAGAAAACAGAGAATGTGAAGGCCTTTCGTAGACTGTTTGAGGCCCTTGAAAATTGTTGGAAAATATTGGTGATCTTTAAAGGCCTTTAAAAACCCTTAAGGCTTTTAAAGCGAGAACTTTTCAGGGCGTTTAAAACCCTAAAGGCCAATGAAATCCTCTAGAAACTTTGGAGGTTGCATTTAGAATCAGGAAATGGGCTCTCCTAATCTTTTAAAGGCCTGCTGTTAGAACGCTCTTAAAGTTACTAGGCTATGGAAACCATTGAAGGAAAAATAACACTTGGTCACTCATGAAGGCTCCACAAAGCCAATTTCACAGTTTTATGCGCGTTTAATGTCTACTAAACGCGTTAAAAGGTTCTTAAAAGCGCTTAAATTTATCGTTACTCACGTTCTTAAGACTTTGATTGCTCCTAAAAGCCCTTGATGTTTATCAAAGACCTTTGAAGCCTCTTGAAGGCTTTTAAAAGCCTCTAGGAGGCACTTGGAGCTTTTTGAAAACTTTTCTAGGCTCTTAGAGTATACGATTTAATCAAATTTAGAATAGTGAGGCATACTTTAGTGCTCTAGAACAACCTTGAACGTTCTTGAAAGTTCTTACAAGCCCTTGAAGTCGCTGTTAATTTATGAATACTTGCTCTGCTGTCGGTAGAGCGAACTTTAATAACTTGACGAATTTAGTTACCTTATTTTGTTTGATGCTACCTTAAAACCTAATCGACAACAGTCGTTACAACCTTAAAGCGCACCAGGTGCATTGCGCATCTCCATATTTAAAAATTAAATATTGATATTAATTATTGTATAAAAGTTAACATAAATAGTGGTTTAGGTACCGGGAATCGAATCTGAGTGTCCTGGGTGAGAGCCATCTATCCTAGTTATCTGGCTCGAAGGACCAATGTTGGGTTATGAATGCTTATTCTGCTGTTGGAAGGTAGACTTTATCGTTACCTTAATTTTCTTGTTTACTGAAAACAAGTTTTTACTTATTCCTCGTGCATTGATATCTACAGGATCACATTTTAATTCTAGCTTAGTCCATTCTTCCTTGCAAATGAAAGCTATTTACAATAGCATCAGTAGATAATAAATAAATTAAAGAACATATGGAGCTTTAGTTACTTGGTGATCATTAATAGCTACCTTGTCCCATGACTTCATTTTGAGATTTAGAAGGATAATTAATATAATGTTACAGTTTTTACAAATGCAAGGTGATTGACAATTGACAACAGAATGACCTTTCTTTAAGCAATTGATACAAAGGTTTAGTCTGCGTGTAGTCTTTTTCATCTGAATTTAAGTTTAATAATGATTCGTAAATGCATGTTGAATTGCAATTTATAAACGATAAGTATATTTGCCTACAGAGTTTCGTTAGTCTTGCTCTGGTCGGGGGGTAGAAGAAATCTGCGTTGGTAATAACTATTTATTATTTTTAAACATGGCGTTTCTTAAACTAAATTAGAATTAATATAGTATTGTGAGCTAAGAGCGAAAAAGTTACTTGATAAAATGCTATTATGAAAGTGGTTAACGACAATGCTTGCATCAAGTGTATTTGACTCAATTCAATGAATGATAACAATCTTATTTACAAATTGCGTAAAATTTGTATTATAAACATATTTACAATATACAAACGCTGTCTACAGCTTCACTTTATTATGTACATATAGCAAATGATGAGAACCTTGTAATTTATTTAAGATAATATTGTTAATGCACAACAGATCAAAGTCGTAATTTAAGTAATAAGAGAACACAACAGAAGTGGCCCAAGGGTGAAACCTTGCGAAACCCCGTTCCCGATTGGTACGGAGGAATTAAAGGGATAGGTTACTGATATAAAAGTTTAACATGCGAAAAACTGTACAGTTTGAGGCAATATACATTGTATTACATGCGAATGTAATAATCCACTAGTTTATATATCACAAACTTTGCTTTCATATAACACTTGGTCCAAATGTGGAAATTATCATTTCTTAAAGAACTGAATCTGTTTAGTTATACAATTGGACAAAATGTACAGCATCAGGGCTGCTTAACACGTAAAGAAATGGCAAACGCCGTTTCTTGGTCCCTGACATGGTAACATCCAAACTCCTTGCCGCTCACATCTTTTTTGAAAAATAATTTTTAACGTATGTCACAACACTTATCGATATGCTTCGAAACTACTGCGAAGGTCACACGCATATTTCAAAAAGGTAATGGAAGCATAGGCAAAATGAGTGGAAATGGAAAGCCAGGTGAGATACTGATATGTAATTTTGAAACACGATGATCTTGGCAGTGGTAATTAAGTAGGTAGCACATCATCCCCTAAATTAATCATGCTGCCGCTGGTATGCTCCGGATCAGAGTTGCAAAAATGCGAACGCGATTACATAAAAATAGAAACGAACGACGGTAGGTACGCAAATATACAAAATGGTTTCCTTAGCAATAGTGGCCCACCTTTATCAACCAATCTGTTTACTTTAAGTGAACGTATATGAAGACGTGTATGTACAGATATGTTGAGGAAATGGTCGGATTTGACAACGCACAATATTAAGCTGATAGCTAGAGCGATGCAATTCTATGATTATTAAGTAAGGTACATGTTAGGCGTTTGGAGTGAACTAGCCATAAGTGCTACCTTTCTGTACGAACGCAGCACTATGGCACAGCGTTACAAAGCAATCGTGTATTTGTCAAAGCACCAAAATGCTTTCACAGATACATTCACATAAAACAGTGCGCTTAAGACTAATGTGATTATCACCGATTAAATATATCACAATAATAACGCATGGTACAAACAAAAAGACATTTAACACTAACAACGTACACAGATTACACTTTAGCTCAAAAAATGGATAGATATGTTCACAGAATAATTCCAATAGATACATTCGAAAGACCTAGTTTAACAAATCGCATTATTTACAAATTAATAATAGTAATAAAAATGCTGGTTTCACTTAAAGTTAAATTTATTATAACAGTACGTGATCACTTCCCCTACGAAAGGCCATAAGGTATATAACACCCCCTAATTACTAATACCATGCTTCCATTTAAATTCCTAGAACTGAAACGTAGAGCTATCAATTCGTCGCGGCGGCAATCGGCGATTTCAGCGTCGTGTAACACTGGCCGGAGTCTTGGGCCAGGTTTACTTGCGACGGTGAAAATTCCAATTTCGGCTTTCCCATCGCCAACGCCGGATTGGTGTCCAGGCCCACTCCGTTCGGATTTAGACTTGCCGTAACTCCTAGTGCCCCTGCGCATATATTAACTAAGATTAATTAATAGGATGTCTTACTGTCGGTACTGACATCTATAAAGAAAAACGTCTACAGAAGACATCTAGAAGAGCACGAAGAGGAGGATCACTACATTAAAAAAACTCATGTTCACGTGCTACAATGAAACGAATATGTGGAGGAGGAAATCGTGTGGTTGTTTGGAGAAATAATAGAGAACTCGTGTTTGTATGTATCTAGTCTCTTGAATGAAAGAAAACATCTATCATGCCTACCATTTATTTATGTAGCATTATTATGCTCCAAACATGCTTGTAACATTCCAACATTCAATTTTGTTGTTGCATGTAAATACCTAGCGTACTATTGTCGATTTATTTCAGTGCTGGTTTTCGTTCCGTTGATACGAATATTTGAGTTGCGACGATTTTCATCTGCAAAATATATACCTAGTGTGTGTATTTTATGTATATTTACAAAATGAAAATGTATATACTATGTGGTGTGTGGATTAGTTCGAGTAAGTTGACACTGGAACAGGATTAGCGGTTACTACAAAGTTCAATTACCTTCTAAGTTCTGCGTTTTGCCTTACGTAAACTGCTTCGCAATTGATTTAAAGGGGACGTTAGTCTGAAAAATTGCGTTGGTTCCCTTTTTGGTCCGATATAAATAGAGAAAAGCGCGGCAAGCCTAAGAGATTGGTGGGGTCTTTAAAAAGTAAGCCTCGTCCTCGCGAATTTAATAACTCAAGAAAGATCTATAGTGTCATTGAAACGTAAAGTGTATAATTAGCGGTCGAGTTATTACGGCTTGCGTATAATAGTCGGTAAACGATTTACTTATCTTACGAGGAAAGTACCTTACGAGGAAGTGTTTTCTTATCGACTTTCAAATTCTAAATAATACGCAATGCGGAATTTAATGAATCAATGAATGCAGTGTTAGTTAGTGCAAATAATACGCGATGAGGAATAAATAGTCGAGCAGCCTTGCTTGTTTCAAAAACTTAGGACATAGCTTCGGCACCCGATTGATCAGCATCCTCTCTAAAATTTTGAACATAGAAAATTTGAAACATAGCTTCAGCTTCGGCGGGTGCGCCGCCTCGTCTCGCTTGTTCCAAAAACTTAGGGAGATAACTTCGACCAGCGGCTGCCACCATTATTTCAATAACTTAAAACAAAACATAGCGAGGGACGTAGCTTCGATCCCGATTGGTCGGCTTACCTCGGTTATTAAAAAGAAATTTGAAAATGAAAATTGACATACCTTATTTTAAATTAAAATAAATTAATAAAGAAGGTTGTCCCATAAATTTAATAAACACCTTGTAAAATCAGATTGTTATAAATACGATAAGCTAATAGATAGGTACGTATAATTGATAATAAAATTTTCATTTAAGTCAATTTTAAAGACACATGAACGAATTTAATGCGATATTTCCGTTCAAATGCGCCTTAAAAACATCGTTATTCTGCATAGCGTCTCGTAACGGATGATAAGAGTAAACTTAGAGCGTGACGTACATGAATTTACTCCCGTGCAAAACTTAGTCATAACGAGCGATAGGAAGAAGCCATTTCAAAACCGTTTGCTTTAGTCCTATTGCCATTTATATTGTTGTGTAAACTACTACATCGGGACGTTTTATTTGGTATCAGCACCTAAAATAACGATGGGTCACCGTGTATGCAAGTGTTTCATTCAGACTAAACACAATTTCGACCGTGTTGATCTTATTTAGAATTATTTATTTACAGATGTGTAATTCTTTGTTTAAATAATCGCATGTACTTTGTTTATTTATTTTTAATAAAGAAATTACGTGTTAAAGGATTAAGCTCATTCTTTTGTAAAAGAAAATCTCCGGTCATTGTGATAAGAGCGTTATCGCTGCGTATTCTAATTAGTTTCAAGATAAGCACGTGTTAGAGCAGATATTTTTTCACCGAAAAGAACATACTGTGTTTAATTTATTCAAAGACATAGTTGGAAGTGGAGAAGAAAAGTAAATTGTTTTTAAACAGAAGAGGCTGACTGTAATTTTGTGGACGTTTGACATGCAGCCATTTATTGTTTTGTGTGTGTTTGGTAGTTTTGCTGTTATCAAAGCTTTTTGATGAGACAGTCAGTCTGGTTTAATTGTAAAGTCTTGTGAAAAGAGTGCTTAAAGAGAGTCGTCGGGATAAAAGTGAATGTTTTAATTTGTCAAGAAGTCATTTTCACTTGGTGCGTCTGTTTGAATCTCGCAGTACAACCGGCGATTTTAGCTTATTGACACTTTAATTAAGACAATTAAGACTTCTTTTAACTCGTTCTATCGATCGCTTGGTGTGCGGTATTTGTTTTTCTGGCCCTGAGCGCATATTTTTCTTTCAGCTTATTTGATTGTTTTATGTCGAATACATTTGTTTCACCTGTCAATGGTTAGTTTTGTGTTTAATGGATACTAAATTACTCCCTAGATAAGAGTGTTCATGTTAAATTGTGCAATTTCGTACCCAGAATTACATCAGGCGCTAATTAGAAATTTGGTAATTCATTCTTTGGACTTTTGGAGGCGGTTCAGGTTAATGATTAACACATTTAAGTCAATATCGAGGTTTTCGTTGTATCGCCAAAATTCTTTTGAAAAATCAGCAGCAAATTTTAAGTGTATTTCTGTTTTCAAGGCCGATCAACTTTACATTTCTCAGGAGAAACTTTCAAACTTCAGCTAAATATCTGCCAGAGTTGTTCTACTTCCATAACTAGATGAAGTTGTTGGTATGGGTGACAAACTATCAAAAGGTAGTACTTTCAATTTCAAGCAATTCCAAACAGTTTAGGAACCTATAAGTCTTTAGGTAAGTTCATAGCTCTCCGTTCATACGTTTCCGTTTGTTCGTTAGCCAATCAGAAGACAGCAAATTTTTAAATCGTACGTCGTCCGTTTACGACGGAAAAGTTGGTTGAAGTTGAACATTTACGTTTCCGTTGGTCCGTTTTTAGCAAGAGTGAGGTTATGTTTGGTACGTTAACAGCGTTCGCCTACTCGTTCTTCACGGTAATATGCCAGATAGCAATGTGTTCTTACTTTCGTACCATTTTTACATACTGAAAGTCACTGACGGTACAGTACAAAATAAAGTTTAGGTTATGATTATACTTATTTGCAAATGTACAATGTGGACGGATTGCTATGAACCTTGACAAAATGTACTATCCGTTTGACGGATCAACGCAACGGATGAACGGACAGCTATGAACCCACCTTTTTTCAGTAACATCTCCAAACGTATATCCTGATCCGAATATAATTAGTACGTACATTTCAACTGAAAGCTTCTAATGCGAAATCGGATAGCGTGAAGCTTCTCTGTTCCAATTACTCCTTCGTCCCCGGGGGTTCGACTTATCATGGCGCACGTATATAAAAGTACATCAAAAATTTCGTGGCATTTATGACGTTCTAATTTTCAATACCTATAATATAAAATTACGTCCACCATTACTGTACGCCGATACGTGAACATCGTGGATGCTAGTAACGTTAGGGCTTCGTATCGGCATGATTCTAAAGCTTACGGTATAGTGGTCGTAAAAAAGTTACGTCTCGTCGCGTCCAGGATGCCATTGCCATAAAGTAGGGTGTACTTTTCTAGGAGAACTATATTTACGATGGTGTGTCTGTAAATATCGAAGGCCGGCATGATTATGTGTTTCTATTCAGTAACAGAACGTGGTAAAATCTGAGTTTGGTGCTTACATGCGAAATTAATTAATGACGAAGTTTCGACTGCGAAACGAGATCGTCAATTGGAGGCAACAGACCACTTCTTAAATAAAATTAACCTCCCTAAATAAGTCCTGGAAGGCATTTATGGTTCCAGAAATTTTTGATTTCCAACTGTTTTAAATTACTACTTGGTAATCACCCCAGAAGCTATTGCTTACACGAGCACGGAAATATTGTATCGTCGCGGTTCTTTCGGAAGCATGGCGTTACGCTTTCTGTTTAAGCCCCACGTTTGTGCGTCATTTGCAATAGATTTTTTGCATATAAAATGTTAGTCGCCGTTCAAAGTCCAAAAGTTGGTCGCCGTTCAAAGTCCAAAGTTTGCTCGCCATTCAAAGTTAAAAGGTCGTTTGCCGATCAATCAAAGTCCACGTGTTGACCGCCGTTCAAAGTCCAAAGTTTGCTTGCCGTTCAAGCTCAAAGGTTGGTCACCGTTCAAAGTTCAAAATTTCCTCGCCGTTCACAGTCCAAAGGTTGCTTGCCGTTCAAAGTTCAATCAAAAGTAGCTCACCGTTCTGTTTCGCAACTGGATTAAATTCAGAAGTAGACCAAAGTTCAAACGTGAATCAAGATTTGTTTAGACGCAATGACCGTACTCTAAACTGAAGGCAAGTTCAATGACATATTAAGATACACTTTAATCGGCGCCTTGCACGTATATTAAAAAATCATCACCAGGAGGCGAGCGACTCTTAAAGTTTCATCTGAACTTACTAGGTTCCGAAAAATATTTGAACTTCACCTTGATCTACTTTTCAAGGTGACGTCCAAGAGGCGAGTGTTAAGGTACGGTTTGACTGGAACCGCCGGCGGCGGCCGTTGCCGGTCGATAACGTCAAGCTGGTATGATTTCCTTGCTGACCGTCAACAAAGACAAGGAAACCAAGTCTAAAAGAACGAGGGGTCGAGTCCGCCGTTGACAGCAACCGTCAACGTGGCCGACGACGGCTCCAGCGATCCGTACCTTTACTCATTTTCCGAACTCACTACGTGGCATTCGAGAGAGGGAAATGCTTAGGAGCGAACGGGACCTTTGAATTTCAAATTAACCTAGTTTTTAAGGCCAATCGACCTTTACACTTCACCTTGGTATATTTTCCAAGGTCGTCACCAGGTGGACAATGACCTTGAACAAGTCCATAACCGGCCCTATATAATAACTGCTAACCAGAAATGGAGACAAGTTATGCTTTCAAATGCAATATTGTGGTGGGACACACGATAGGGAGCCCACATCACATCACAAAAGAGCAACGAAATCAGCACAGCGCCTGCGCGCGCGTTGCCCCCACGCGATTCGAAACGGCCCTCCCTACCATAGGATCGGTCTTTATAAGGCGACGCGCAAGCGTAAACTTTGATTCTAATGGCGACCGTACACGTCTACTGCACCGCTGCATTTCTGTGGTTGGCTCATATGAACCGTAAGTACTTGTAGTTAAGGCTGATAAATGTAGGTACCCGTGTCAAACGTATCGTCGATTGCTACGTCCTTCCGTTGCGATCGTACGGGGAGAAATGAATTCCGGCTCGTCCCGACTCAGTTGAGTTTTAAAACGAAATTAAACACTACAAAATCATTTTTGAAAATGCATATTCAATGTTTAGAAAATTTACGAAATCTAGCATGCCGTGTGGTGTCAGGATGCGCGGTTTCGCTTGTGTTACACGGGGAGATCGTATCGCGCAAAATAATCGAGGCAACGAAACCTAAAAATTGCAGGCGTGGCTAATAATTATTTATATTGAAAAAGTATCAGTAGTAAGTATTGTACCGGGTGACACAATAAGATCGTTCCTCGGCCATATCTGGGGAACCGTTCGTCGTATGGCTTAGGCGTAAAAAAAATGGTTGGGTAAATCGGAAATGAAGAATCGCTGGAAAACATTTTCAAGTTTTAATAATGATCACCAGAGGGCGTAACTGTTATCTTAAATTTTCAAAATGCATTTTCTTTTACATTTCGCATAATAAACAAAAAATTTTTTTCGCATTTTTAAAGAGAACAGTTTATCCTATCATTTTCGTAAAAACAAAAGCTCAGTTTTTTCAAAAACAAAGATGGCGTGGGGCGTTCAATTGTTTTTGCAATATGCTTTAACTTCTTAACCGTTTGACCGATTGTAACAAATTTGATGTGGTTGAAAAGAGCATTCCTTGGGCAACAAGAATCAAAATATAGTTAATTTAGTTGAATCCTTCTCCGCCAGGGGGCTAGTTTTGACACCATGATTCAAAATCCTAAAAAAATTAAAAAAATCAAATGGAATGATATGACTTTTTCTTTATGAAAAAGTAGCCAAATAACATCCAAAGAAGCCAAGGAAAATCGTTGTTCAAAGTCTCGTTCCTAACCTCAAATATTGAGAAAATGAGATTAATTAATTAATTAAAATGCTTAAATTGTATCTTAAATAAACACTTTTAGGTAGGCCGTTTAAAATTAAACAAATGAAACACGATGCAATATAAAATAATAACAGCCGTAATTTGTAAATTATTCTGCTGTGTTGACAGTCAGAAAGTGCAGTTTTTTGAATTTGAAATCTTTTCTAAAATGTCGATTTCTAACCAAGAAACATTTAATATGCTGGCGGCGATGGTTCGTGATCGATTCGTATAACGCAAATAGAAGATGCGGGCAGCGATGGTCGCATTTTAAAAATACTCAGAATATATCGCCAGCATATTAAATGCTTCTTGGTTAGAAATCGGCATATTAGAAATGATTACAAATTCAAAAATCTGCACTTTCTGAATGCATATTTTACAAATTACGGCGGCTATTATATTATAATGCATCGTGTTTCATTTGTTTAATTTTCCAAGGCCTACCTAAAAGTGTAGGGTGCTTTTCTTTCGCGCCATCGACAAATACCGGAAATACGTAAAAAGTAAATTTAAGATACAATTTAAGCATTTTAATTAATTAATTAATTAATCTCATTTTCCCAATATTTGAGGTTAGGAACGAGATTTTGAAAAAACGGTTTTCACTGGCCTCTTTGGATATTACCAACGGAAGGTTCGTAGCATTTCTTACGGTATAGCGGTCTGGAATTCTTTTGAATCGGCCCTGATATCCCAGGACCGCGAAAGTCTACAGAAAACCATCTATAGGCGGATACCATTGTCAAGTTTCGTTAGACATTATTCTTCCCCCTAATGGTATTGGCACGCTGTGGTGGTTTTAACTTCCTTTGCGTCGATCTTTATATGTACATGGGAACCGATATAGATGTGGGAACAGTTCCCCAATTGGTTTAGATCAGATTTAGTCAATTTGACTGAGGACTTTGCCATCTATTGCCATTATTCTGGAAGTCGAAGAGTTGCTTTCAGTCCTAATTATTGCGCGGCGGTCGGAAGTTCTTTTGAATTGGCCTTCATTTTTGGCCTCTTGGTAAGTGAGACCCATTAAAAATGGGTGATGGTCTGAACTATCATCTATACAAAAACAATTGGTACAATTTCATTGGTTCCTAGCCCCTTAAAAATAAAATGATCACCAAGTTAGTCCAAACCAGGGTCCAAACAATGAAGGTACCAACTCATAAATCGAGCGTTCGTACAGGCGGAGTACGCAGAGGACTGTGGGTTCCGTTTCCGAATTAGTTTAGCGGTATTTTTGGTTAATCCTGTTCCAAGTGTGTTAGTGTAACATGAGGCGAATGATATATAGATAAAAATCACAACGATCAACACAGTGTCATACACACACGTATAGTGTAAATTTAGCAAAAGAAAAAATCACTTGGTTAGGTGCCGAACCTTCGCTAAAGCATCTGTTGGTTGTGTCGGCTGTTGCGTTCCAGCATAGGCGTAAACTGGCCGTCATCTATCTCTACCCCTATTTGTTAAATGGAAAAATTTAAGAATAATGCTTTAATACATCGTCTCGACTTCCTTGACAATCGATGTGTAATGGTGAGAGTGCTTCAAGTTGATCATGCAACGAAACCCTAACACGCGAGACGTCACATCGATTTTCAATGGGCGAGTGTCAGATACGGTATCAAAAAACTACACCAACCTGTCTTAGGGCCGATTCCTAGCATATCCTTGGGATGATTCGTTTTGACTGCGTTCATTCTTCGATGCTGCGGTCCCATACCCGGTGGACCAGGAAGACCACCCGGAAGAGCTCCTTGGCCGGGTAACCGTGGACCCCTCGTCGGTTCAACGGGCAGAACTCTTCGGCGTTTCTTGGGTAATTTCGCGCGCGCCTGTAATTCTCCCACTGCAGGACCGATTATGTAACCGACGGACTTACCTGCGTATGACTGTAGTACATGGCGAAATTGGATACGATGACAGGCACTGGTAACGCTATCGTCAGTACACCAGCTAAAGCACACAAAGCACCCACAAACATTCCAATGTAAGTCTTCGGAACCATATCTCCATAACCCACAGTGGTCATCGTGACCAGAGCCCACCAAAGGCCCAAAGGTATACTCTTGAAATCATTATGTGGATTCGCCTGTATGCGCTCCGCGTAATAAACTAAGCTAGCGAAAATAACTATACCCAAAACGAGGAAAAAGACTAACAGGGTAAGTTCCTTTGCAGACGCCCTAAACGTTTGTATTAAAATTTTTAAACCGGACGAGTGTCTCGTTAACTTAAACAACCTCATAATGCGAATTATCGAAAAAAACTCCATAATATCAGCGTTTTCTAAGTGCGACGCAAACTTCCTAAGCAATAAGTCAATATAAAAACTGGCGGTCGCAATGTAGTCGATTATGTTCACCGACGAGTTAATAAACTCGCATTTGTTCGGCGACGCTACAAATCGCACCAGAATTTCAAAGGTGAACCACGCGTTACAGATACACTCGATGTAAAAAAAAGCGACGTGAGCGTCCGTGTCTATTTTATCGACGGTGTAGTCTGTACCGTTGGCGGCTGTGCGTAATACGACCGACTTTATAACCGGTACCTTCATATCCGGATGAGTTTTCAAACAGAAGGATAAGATCGATACGCAGATGAAAAACACCGACATCACTCCGATAATCTGAAAAGCAAAGAAAAATTACAATTAGAATGCATGGATACACAATAAGAACGTTGTATGAGGCGCTTTCGTGCGGAAAATTACGAAGGCACGCAATTTTTTTTTTCGTAATATAGGTTTAATCATATTTCAGTTTTAAGAGATTGAAAGTTTTTTCTCATAAAATTCGTTCGCCGTGTATTTAATCACGGATTACCCAAATAAGATCCTCAGATTAGAATTAGGCAATGGGTTATAAAAGTACATTAGTAATAAAACCGCATAGATAGGTAAAAAACCACGCGTGAAATTATAGTAGGACTTGTATGTAAACGTGTAAATATTGTAAATAAATTAGTCTTTGAATGAAAGCCATTTTGTTCAATTACTCAACTATAGGGTGAGGATCAGTCTACAATCGACACCAGTGACAAATCTTTTCAATCTTCTATCGAGATTGATCACTTTTTTGGTTCATGCTCATTAAGTCATTTCCGAATTCTATAAGCTTCTAGCTTCTACTGTTTTTGTAGAAATCGCCTTTCCCTCCGTTAAATTTTTAATTCTTTTAACTCTATTCTTTCGTTTTCCTTGCTTACATTCACTTGTATTTTGTCCAAATTCATTGCATTTAAAACACTTGATTCGTAAGGACTTTGCCCCAGTTGCTCCAACAAAATTAAGTCTTGCTTAAAGTTAAGTCGAACTTAAAATATATGGCAACGATTATTAAGACAATCGTTGCTATGGTATTTAAGTTATGCTTAACTTTAAGGGATACTTAATTTTGACGGTGCAATTGGCCCTTTGAGTCACACTTACTTGCGACGTGTCTCTTTTATCCACAATTATAACAGATAATGTCGCTCATTCTTTCACTCGACCGAATTCGCAACAAAAAGTCCTTTCATTTATATTGCCTTCGTAATTAGTCCATTTTCTAGTACATGTGTGCCGTATCGATCGCCAAATCAAGATTTAGAATCAATTTATTCCAATTGTATCTTTAATTAATAAACACGTTAATCATTCATGTCGATATTCTTTCAACATTCCTCTTATAAAAAGGTATAGTAAGCAATTACATTTCATATACAGTCTATTATACATAAATCGGAATTTTCTAAGCAAGATTATTTCTTCGTTAATTCAAATAACAGCGACGCTATAGATTAACATGTATGCACAAACAGTCTAAAAAAAATCGCAAAGCCTTAGAAATTGTCGTATCTCGTGTACGTTCTGATGCCTAGGAAAGTTTTCGCCAGAATTTAATTTTGATTTGCCTGGCGGTACTCCAGAACAGTCAATTTCCCTACACAGGAACTTATATTTTGCCAACTGAAATAGTCTACGTCGTCCATCTACGCTAGAACCGCGGCTGAAGCAGAAGTTCATCAGTCATAAAAAACAAGTATAAATTTAGCACAACTCTTGTGCAGATAAAGCGCATTTTTTTAACCGAAATAGCTTTTGTTTTGACATCACCAATGGATATATTCCTTGCAGATGTCTCAATCGCCCTTTGTGAGTACCCTCTTCTGACAATCCGTTCTTGAGGTATAAGGGAATATACCCGATCACGATAAGAGGTCGAGGAGGAAATTAATTCCTTTCGTAGAGACCTTTCATTAGAGTAGTACGAAGGAAAAAATAGTTCCCCCCCCCCCCCTCCCCCTTCGGCCCATACTTTGATAAAAGAAGGGCAGTAGTTGGTAGAAAACGGTTCCTTTCGTTGAGACCTTTCATTTATTAGAATACAATGAAAGATAAAATTAATTTTTAACCCCCCCTCGGGTAGAACATGTGTCCGCCCTCCCCCCCAACTTTCTAAAGTTAAAGTTAAAGGCATGCAAAATCTGAGACCAATTGGTTGTCGTACGTAAAACTTGTGCACGTTTTACTCTCAAAAACAGCATCTCAAGAAATAATTCGTGGGGGCCCTTTTAAGCAGCGAAATTTGATGGACGTCTGGCACACCGTCAAGGTATAGGCTACCTACTGCAAAAAATTCCAGGACTCTAGGACGATTCCTCTAGAAGTAGTTCGAAACGGTAGAAGTGGGTCCGGACGGACAAAATTTTCATAAATTTTTATTCTTATTTCAATAAAAAATGCGCTAAAAATCAAGCAGTTAGTGCACCGCGTTCTGTCAAAGTCATTTTGTTTATTAAAAGTTAAAAGTTATGTACCGTCTTAACAGTCAACGGTAACTCGTCATTTTGGTCATCGAGTTAATGTTGTTTGTAATCAAGATTTGTCTGTTACAGAAAAGTGAATTTCAGAAACTGTCAGCGTTTGTGTGTGAAGTGCGCCTTGTTTATCGCAAACCTTCATACGGCTAGATTATTAGGATTCTTAGGATTATTAACAGAAAAAATTTTACTTTTAAGATTTTCTGATTTTATTTGTCGAACGCCCGCGTGCGATTGTCCAAACAAGCTTTGTAAGCACTTCTTTCTTTGAGAAATTTTGTTTTAATACTTCATTTCGTGTGTTTTGCAATAAATTTTTGTCTTTGTCAACCACCTAATTGTGTGTTTATTCGAACCCATTGTGCGACCAAATTGATATTTTCGTAGCCAAGATTTATTTCAGGTGTTGATCAAAATGGTTGTATGCAGAATTTTCGGATATTGATCGAGTACACTGAGTTTCTCAAATCATAGATTTACGTCAATATTGGGATTTTTATCTGTATCAGAATCATGAGTTATCTCGCCGACATTCAGTCACTCCAGTTTGGAGATATTCAAGTTTTTACTTCGCTACTAGACATGTCTGGTTTAGACGTTCCAATCTCCTTTTGAGGGAACCTTCCTCCGACGTTCTGCAGATATTTGCAGTCAAAGTGTTGATATCACCAGTAGATGTATCTCGCACGAACGTCCCACGTGTCCTTTATGAGTACCCTCATCCAACACTTCGTTTTCAAGATATATGGAGACGATTCATTTTGCCTTTGTGAGTACTCCTCTCCTATCTACCCTTTCGAGATATTTGCGCTTAAAGTTTTTATATCACCAATGGATATACGAGTACTTCTTGTACTTCTTCAAACGTTCCAATCGCCCTTTGTAAGTACCATCTTTCGGTACTCCGCGCTTGAAATGATGAATTGTCACCGATCACGATGAGGTCGAGGAGGACTGTGGTTTGTAGAAATGAATTCCTGTCGTTGAGACCTTCCATTACAGTACCATTTGATAAGAGGGCAGAAAGAAGGGCCTTTAATTAGACCTTTAATCAGAATACAATGAGAGATAAAATTAATTTTTAACCCAATTTGATGGCCGTCTGGCACACCTTCAAGGTATAGGTCATTTCCGAGGTCGAGAAAAGCTTTTACTGTTTTTTTAAAAATCGCCATTTCCATCGTTAAACACAATCTTTTTAACGCTATTCGAATTTTACGCACATTCGCACATTTTTCGTCTTTTTTTACACACGCTTGCATTCAGTCCAATTCTGTAACTTAAAATAATCTTAGCAACTTGCTAATAGTGAAGGTAATTGCTAGATGAGCAATATTTGTTAAAAGTGGTATTCTGTACTGACAAACTTAGCAATGTTGCCTAAAATTTTAACAATTCAATTGCTTGACCCTAGCAATAGGTAAAGTGCTGTTGTTAAGTCTTAGCAAGTGTATTTCACCCGCTCCAATATGGCAGGTGGTTGGTTTAAATACGAATTTTTAAACGCTGTTGAAGATTCAATTCTTATCATAATTCATCTAGTTTTTAATATCGTTTGGAGCAGTTCTTTCCAGAACTAACATGGCATTTTTAGCGCATTTTCCAAAGAAGTTGGGTGCGCTACTGAAGCCACTTTCTCTGTCCGTCTGTCCGAGACCTTAACTACTCCTACAGTTCAAGATATTTAATTCATTCCTTTTGCATTCGGTAGCGTATAACTCTGGCATCTGAGCCAAGCAAAATCTTGACGATCAAACGGCGCAATGTCAACTTTCCTATTTATAGATATTTTTTTGAAATTGTAAACATAGATGTCTCTAGTAAAGATAAGCATATCGCATATTGTAAACATCAGATGTGGGCATGTGCAAACTGCGCAACTGCCAAATTTCTTATTTCTTATTTATAGAGAAATTTTAACAACAGATGCTTCCAGGAAAGATAATCGTATTGGGCACCTGAACCAAGAAAAATAGTAACAATTACACTGCGCGTCCGCATTATGTCCGTTCAGTGACCTTTTCGGAACTACTGATCAATGCATGATACTACAAAGTTGTAGTATCATGTGATCAATGCACGGAAAATGCGCTAAAGTTAATCGTCTTAGGGCGAAAACTTTTTTACTTGTTTTCTACTTTGTTTTCTAAATTGCCCACAATTAGGGAATGTTGCTTCCATGTTGTTCTAGCACCACGCTGTTTGGTATCTGTATTTTCCATGGCGAGCAAATACAAATTACAAGTCGCACATCACTTTTAAAGTCACCAACGCGTCTATCGGTTAAACTTAAATCAAAAATACAACTAACCTTACAATTAAAAAGTTTAAACAGTTGTGAATTTAGGTGGTAAGAGTTCAGTAGGTTCAGTAATGCGTCTAAGTTTACGCCCAGTGACAACACTCTGTTACTAAGTTCTGACTAGTTCGTAGCAATTTGACGAAGTGTAGGAATATTAGCAACATTGCTCAAGTTGGTAGTTAAAGAATGACAAATTTGTTATCATTGCTCATAATGTTGCTAGAATTTTGTGTGAGCAATCTTGCTATAGTTAGCAATATTGCAAACTTGTTAGTTACAGAATTGGACTGGTGTCCAAATTCATTGCTTTTAAAACACTTGATCTTTAAGGATTTTTTGTCACACTTACTAGCGACATGTAAAATTGTCCCCAATTATCACAGCTAATGTGGCTCAATCCTTCCTTGCCTTCCTTCGAAGTACAAGCCCAGTATTTTGCTTTTACGTACCTATGTCGTCATCAATTCCATATACTTCGTACTCAATGTGACCCTTTCCACCAATCTCATTCATAACATAAAAATATGCCTCACATTCTCATCGTATCGCATTTTTCGGTGAGACAACAATTTATGAACGTCAGTGCTACTGAGCTTTGTACAAAATTTTGTTAATAAAGCGCCCGGAATTAAGCTTTCTCTCTCTTATTGTATGAAAAGTAGAGCTGTCGCTTTCAGTAGCCTTTTGGTGAATATAAATTTCTACATCTGATTCCAATTCATTAACTCAGCTGCTTCATAAAAATCTCTGATCGCCTTTTCAACAGGACACTACTTTCTCCGTACTCGCGTCGTTTTTTTGACGTCTCTAAAGTTAAGGCTAAATCTTTCACTTGATTTTCCCATAGGTTCATTGACGGTGCTGAAACTGAAACACATCCGTCGTATTATGCGTATTTATAATTATATGAAATTTTTCTGCTTTAGGCGGAAAAATGTTGGTGCAGAGGTTAATAGATTCAGACGAGTATAGCAATAACAGAACACGAATTACAAAAATACTTCAGTTATATTCACAATATATAAAACTACAACACGGAGAATATGTAAATGGAACATTATAATGTGTCAGACGGACACACTCTACAAAAACAATCATACGTGCATTTTTCTATACAGGGACATTTATTACGAAGTAGACATAGGGATTTACGTGTATTCACGGTACACTTATCGTGCGTGTAGTGTTTTTCCCTATGTTTACTTTTAAATGACAAAATTCGTTCTGAATACTTCTTAATAAATATCACTGTATATCCAAAAGTCTACATGATTTTCTAACAAAAAATTATTCCTTAGACAGTAGATGGACTGCTAATTAGCCCTACGCTTTCAATACAAAATGGGTGGTCACGGGTATGTATATCTCAGTGTATACTAAAGTCGTGTAAACACACTTCGGAAATAATGCCGAAGATGAGAGCGAGCCACCCTGTAGTAAAGAAAAATATTTGTTTAGGTTTTGGAAATAGCAATAGGGAAATCCTGTATGTAAAATCATTCAAGTTGTTTCATAGGGTCTGGGGAATTTTATTTCAAATAGACACAGATATGAAAGAAGTTGATGAATTGTCATTTTATATTTAGTGAATTATTGTAAAATTAGTAATTGTTTAATTAATTTAATTTTATTTTCTTGTCTAAAGAGCTTAAACAAGGGAACATGTAATCGAAATGTAATTATAATGTGAAAAGTTTAATCTGGCAAAGGATTGAGTGAAAAGGTCTTTAATGGTAATTGGTTCTGTGATAACAATACCACGTGCGAGATAAACAACGCATGTGTTTATCAATACGGGCGACGGAGCATAGTTTCGAGTATCGCCGGGAAACAACGATATGGAATTTATGAATAGGGGTGGTTGCTCCTTTAAATAGGAAAACGAAAAAATAAACGATCAGCCATTGTAATTATAACCTCATCAAACAAGTTATTGGGTTACCAAAACAAGCGTTTTAAGATTCCAAAATAGTCTAGTTCTTAATTCTAAGATAAGTCAGTACTTCAAAATTTGAAATTAAAAATCCAATTAATCGTATTTCACGTATTCTATTTCTGTGCCCCTTTACCAACTTAGCCCATAATCAGGGACGCAGTTCTAAGAAAAAAAGTATCGCAGCTCACCTTTGCAGCCGTAGACGAATACGGCTCATCAAATAACGACCATATCTTAGGCTTCGTATGTTGCCACCACGATAAGGTACCCTTATAATAATCCTCCTCGAATCCAAACTTTCTCGCAATTTCCTCGTCGCTCGGCTTCTCCGTGTCCAAATCTAACCGATCCAGAACCGCCAACGTCTCTTGCGTATCTCTGTGCTGGAAAATGAAATAAAAGTTCAATTACCTACCCAATGAGATTTTCTTATAACACTAAAGAACTGAGTTAAAACGTTGTGTGAAGTTGTAACGTTACTGATTTGCAATTCAAATTTTGATCCTCTTGTTAAGATTAAAATGGAATTAACCCGTGAATGAAGGAGGAAAAAGGAAACACCGAAAATTCAATTTTTCTTTTGATACTCACTTTACGAACATGGTTTTTAAAGATTGAATACCGCGGTATTATTATAACGTAGCTGTATTTACCTGGAATATACGTAAGCGACGACGTGGAAATGGAAAATTACGGCGAAATTCGACATCTATTAGCGCTGTCTTCAGCAAATACCGTCAGTAAATTTTGCATGACTAATTAGTGTACTTAATTTAATGCCGAACTCGTTGTTTTTGTTTATTTAAACCGATTTGTTTCGTTCTGTTCTCATTAACGGGGTAAAGTAAACTTTAAATCGGCTTTTGTCTACTCGATACTGATTTTGTACAGTTCGAGGGTTTAACAAGGGTGGTCTTTCATTGATTTATTTTCCAATTAATACTTATTAGTTTTTATGCTACTCTGTACTAAAAAAAATATTCTTGTGGCACAAGAAATCAAACATAGCTCGTTAAAAGGGATTAGTATTCAAGACCTTTTTGTGAGGGTTTTGAATGAACATTTTGTAGGCATCAAGAGTAAATTTAGACCTTTCAGTTAGACGGTCGGTAAAACTAAAACATACCAAATTTTTTGGTAATTCTTGGAGTATTAAATGTTCTCTTCCAAACTTCAAAAGAGGATTTTACCTCCTTAGACGGTCGTTAAGCGATTGCCAATATTTCATATCGCCTACTCATACTCATACTCATACTTATACTCATACTCATACTTATACTCATACTCATACTCATACTCATACTCATACTCATACTCATACTCATACTCATACTCATACTCATACTCATACTCATACTCATACTCATACTCATACTCATACTATACTCATACTCGTACTCTTACTCTTACTCATACTAGTAAATATACAAAAAAAAGTTTCATATAAATCGATCAAACCGTTTCGAAAGAGTTCGACCACGCAGTTCTGTATAATTATGCGATTCTTCCCTTTAGACAACATTAAGTTGTGCCAAATTTTTCGTAATTCTACCTCCAAATCGTAACCTTCTAAATGGAATTAGAATTTGAAACTCTTTCAAGAGCAAATTTTACCCCTTAGGCGGTCACTAAATCATGTTATTTTTTTTAACCTAATCGTAACCTTCTACCAGAAATCAGAATTTTAAACCCCTTTGTGGTGGTGTTAAATGAGTAAGGCAGTCACGCCAAACATTTGGGTAGTTCCACCGGTGAATCGCATCCTTCTAAATTAGAATTAGAAACTTTGTTTTGGCAAGTGTTTGATGAATATTTCTAAAGATTGAAAGCAGGGATTTGACACCATAAGACGCTACCTAACTCATGCTAATTTTTTTGGTAAATCTAGAGCCTAATTTCACCCCCTTAAACGGCCGTTTCCCTCCAGCAAGTGTCCTTCTTTATATTAGTTTTATAATCCTTGTCACCCTTATCTCTCAAACATGGTCGCTTTTGTACCTGTTGCATCCCCAAACTAGAACTAGTTATTCATTTGAGAGTTCCTTCCAAGAAAATTATCCTAGTACGCCCTGTATATAACTATTTTACCTGTCCCTGTGTATATTCCCACTTGTTATGTGCGGCGCACGAGCTGCCGCATTCATCGAACAACAATCTAACGAGAAGAATCAAGTTGTCGCTGTACAACCGTCGATAAAAATGAACGTGTTTGTTAAGAAGCAGCATGTCATTTTATTTGTACCACACGGCGAATTTCCTCGTTATAATCGATAGCACCGTCAAACTAGAATCGCTATAACTAGCTCGTAATCTACGCTCTAACTAGTAGAAAATCAATTAACGCCATCGCCGTCATGGTTTGTTTATTGCACTTTCTTCCCAGAAGACTGAATTCGAAATAAGTCCTTTCATTCTAATTCCTTTCTTAATTATTCTAATTTGTAGTACTTATTGTGTCGCCGTATCGAACGCCAGATCAAGATTTATAATCAATTATTTTATTTGTATTTTGAATCAATAAACACGTTAAATCATTCATGTCAATATTTTTTCATCCCTCTTGTACAAAAGTAAGCAATTACATTTACTAATAAATTTGGAAGCGCTTCATTTGGTCTGATTGGTCCATTCTGACTGGGCTTGGAGCAATATTGGACAAGAAATATAGATCGAAGCACCTTCTTGAGCTGCTCTGTATTCTTGGGTTCACTTGCTTTACAGTGCTTATAGGTATTATTTACTAATGAAGCGGACGATGTACTGCCTGCATTTGACAGTTTTTACTGATTTAAAGATATAATTCAGGTAACTTATCGATTTTAATTGTGGTGGGATATACAAATTGGCGGTTTTTTTGAGCAAATCCTTCCCAATTTTTCTTGCCATACATTTAGCAACACCACATTATTTCTTTACCACAACATGTATTTGTATAGACAAAGAAAAGAAGGTAAGTTCATCCAAGGAGTTAATAACCTAAGGAGCAACTACAAGTCAACGGGTCAGTAAGAAAAATCAACGTCTACGTTACATTTTCAAACCTATACATTGTGACCCATCGCATCATTCAAGCAATTTTTAAATTTCTGATTTATTTGAGCCTATTGAATGTGGTTCGGATTTAGAATTAATTTTTGTTTCAAGGAATTTTCAATAATCAATCAGTCAAATTCAAGGAACAGATTTATAACTAAGAAGTTTTTTGTGGCAGTCCCACGTATCCACAAATGTAAATTATATTATTAAGGCGAAATTGCATCATGTCAAGGGGATTCCCTTGAGAGAATTAAATGTAAAATGAAACTGTCACCATTATCCCTTGTATTAGTGGCACAGCGACAAAGGAATATGAAAATTTATACCCTTCATGATATTTACATTACAAAAGACAAACACGACCTCGAAAAAGTTCTTTCGGAGGGTGAGTACAATCCATAAAATCGAATGGGCTCCTTGTTTGTCTTTACGAGAGATTTATTATATTAGAATAACCCCAGACGCACAGATTGAAAACTCTACGGAAACTCAAACAAGGTCGTCCGCGTGACGTTTTATGGAACTAGACCGTGTCGGGAAAGTAACTTCATTGTAACCAACTTAATGATTACCACTACTGTAACTGAAATGTACATTCAACTCCTGACAAAACCGTTGTCTGAAAAGTTTACGGCTGGTAATTACCCACGTTGCCAACAATGCGACATTGGATTGATTTGCTGAACAGCACATTATCGTAAAAGGGCGAAGCATCAACCTATTCGGTTTCCTCGTGCAATTTTATCTAATTACATTCCACACTTTGTACAACTAGTTCAGGAAGTAATCGTTACTCCGAGTGTAGTCTGAATGGAAATTGGAATTCGCAATGGAACAGAGTGGCTACATTTAGTTTTGTCACGCCGATAATCTAAATGTTCTTCTTGTTTTAATGGAAAAAGTTTATATCATTTTCGGATTCTTTGTTAAGAATAGAGTGTCTCTGTATAGCAATTTAATTTGGAATATTTAGAGACTTGCCATTTGTGAGAAAGCGTACAATAATTTAGAATGAACAGAAACGTACAAGTATGTAACGACTTCTCCAAAATAATGTTGGAAATGGAAGCTCACGCAAAACAACCACAAATTCCGGATTACATATCAACAATTTCAAAGGAAAATTTAAACTGAAATAGAAAAACTCCCCATGACCCAAGACAAATTTGAGTTAAAGGAAATATGAACAAGATTAAGGAACATAGTAATAAACAGATCCAAAAGGACCGGTGTAATGTTCTCAGTCAGAAAAAATGGCGGAATGGTTTTGTAACATGGAAATTCAATTAGTAACGTTCATCTACCATTAATAAACGGTGTAATCTCAAAATTTTTAGTTAGCATTTTTTCATAGTCTTGATTCCCAATTAGCTGAGTTGCAAAAGTAACCAAGGAAAGCTAATTTCTGGAGTATAATTTAAAACCACACCCAGACAGTGAGACGACCATCAGTGATTAAAACAAGGATAAAAAAAACCACTACGTTTCATTCCAGAAAATTGACTCTGGAATGTTTTTACTCTGAACATTCTCTACCTGCACATTCGTTTAAAGAATATTTTCACGGAAACGTGTACGCCTCGAATTTGCTTTTGGGAAATTCTCTTGGAGAAATAAACTTTTCGTTTATTCATGCAGGTGAAAATGGTTTTCTGCTCTGCTGAGTTCTGCTCTAAGGTTTTGACCTCGATCCTACGTCGTGGCCTTGAAATTTCTCCAGTAACCTCCCAAGGTCGTGACCTCGGTGATGGCATTGTTTGTAAAATGTCGGGCCCTGGGATTTCTCCGACGGAAAAGTCATTACTTTGATAAAGGGGATTTCTCGATTGCTTTTGTTGTTCAAGATCGTCGCCATGGCGCCGTAACTAAGGAGTGACTTTCTTTATGGACCAATTAAAAGCGAAACCGCAATCAAAACACAGATCAAATTAACAAACCTCAAATAAATCCGCCTATTTTACTTAATTGAAGGTTCAATATTTTACAAGTTCTGAAGAAATTGTACCGTCACCCAATTACTAATTAATTTAAAAACCGTTGTCGTCTGTATCGTTCGCTTGTGTATTTTGAGTTAGCCTGAACTGTATAAAACGAAACTCAAAAACGTAGGGAAAATTCCCGAGCACGACGTTGCACCATAAAACAAGGTCACTATTAGTTATGTTACCGAGAAATCTCCTTCGCAAATGTATTTGAAGGTCATTAGAGTATACAAGGTTAACTTGATAATTATAAGGCGATTACTAACTGTTACTGGTACAAAACGTTTATTGCTTTGCTTTGCTTCGCTCGACGCTTTGCTTTTGCTCTTTTGCTTTTGCTTTATTTGTAGTCATTTCATAAATTG